GACTTGAATAGACCTTTCTCCAAAGAAGATACACAAATGGCCAATAAGCACATGTGCACATCACTACTCATTAGGGAAATACAAATCAAGGCCACAATGAGATATCAGCTCCCACCCATTAGAAGGGGCACTATCAAAAAGCCAGAAAGGGTTGGTGGGCTGGTGAAGATATGGAGAAATTGGAACCCTTGTGCATTGCTGGTGGGAATGTGAAATGGTGCAGCCACTGTGGAAAACAGTATAGCAGTTTCTCAAAAAAATGACACATAGAATTACCATATGATCTAGCAATTCCACTTTTGGGTACATACCCAAAAGAATGAATCAGGGTCTCGAACAGATATTTGCACACCCATGTTCCTAGTTGCATTATTCATAATAGCCAAAAGGTGGAAGCAACCCAAGTGTCCACCGACAGATAAGTAGATAAACAAAATGTGGTCTATACATACGATGGAATATTAATTATCCTTAGAAAAGAAGGAAATTCTCACAATTGCTATAATATAGATCAACCTTGAGGATACTATAAGTGAAATAAGCCAGACAAAAGGAAATATTGTATAATTCCACTTATATGAGATTCCTAGAGTCATTAAATTCACAGACAGAAAGTAGAATGGTGGGTGCCTGGGGCAGAGTGATGGGGAGTGAATGGGGCCAGAATTTCAGTTTTCTGAGATGAAAAAGTTCTCAAGATGGATGGTGGTGGCACAACAATCTGAGTGTGCTGAATGCCATTCAACTGTACGCTTAAAAATGGTTAAGACAGTTAATTTTATATTATGTGTATTTTAGCACAATTAAAAAAAAAGAAGTGCCAAGGCTGACAACTCAGCAGATATGGCATTGCAAGTATGGCTGACCCTGCCCGGCTTGACCTCTCCCTGGCTTCCTCCCCTCCCTGGGCACAGAGAGACTCCACTGCCTAGCACCCCTTAGCTAACTGTCGTCACATGGACTGTGAGCTCCAGCAGCACATGACTCTGTGCACTCCATGGTGGCCTCACATTGAGGTGATGACTTGTGGCCTGGGCTGCCCAGACACCACATGAAGGTCATCTGCCCTGGGGTGTGGGACAGGTTGAGTGGACATGTTGGGGAAAAGACATTTTTCTGTGTTGGGTTAAGCCATTGAGATACTGGGGATGTTTGTCACTGTAGCATAACACAGGCCATTCTGACCGATACACCAGTGTCCCATGAAAAAGAGAACAAGAGCAGATCTGGCACCCTGGGGGTCACTGGCTGGAGCTGCAAGGAGTCACCCTGTCTGTGTTCTCTTATTTCTCTGTGTTTCCTGCCTGACTTCTGCAGGCACTTAGATTTGGGATGGTGCCTGAGTCTGCTCGGGCTAACATAACAAAGTACCCTAAAGTGAGTGGCTCAAACAACATTATTGTCTCCACATTGTAAAGGCTCGAAGTCCAAGATCAAGGTGTCGGTGTTAGCAGGACCGGCTCCTCCAGAAGGCTGTGAGGTCTGTCCCAGGCCTCCCTGGCTTGTAGACACCCTTCTTCTCTCTCTGTCTTTGCACATTGTCTCCCCTTCCTATCTGTCTGTGTCCAAATCCCTCCTTTTTGTAAGGACATCAGGCATGCTAGATTAGGACCTGCCCTCTCCAGCACAACCTCATCTTAACCAATTACATCTGCAGTGACCCTATTTCCAAATAAGGTCACATTTCAAGATACTGGGGGTTAGGACTTGAACATACAGATTTTGGGGGACACTATTCATCCTGTAACAGATGGCTTCCCAGAGGAAGGCTCATGGGAGCTGCACCCAGGTGAGCCAGCTGGGCAGGGGCAGGTAGGGGAGAACCCAGACATTTGCAGAAGGAACCAAGTAAGCAGGGCTTTCTGGGAGGAGCATCTCTAGAAGGTTCTTAAGAGAGTCCCTGTGGCCACAAAAGCTGCGTACATGTGTTGGGGGGGTGTTCCTGCCTCTTGCTTGTTTCTGGGGTGACGACCAAGACATGAACAAGTGGAAGGAAGCTGGAAGGGGGGCCTGTCAGGTTTCATCTTTGCAGGTTTGTTTTTGACTTTGTGCTGACTCTGGAAATGGACTGACGTTGGGGTGGGCGAGGGATGGAGGCAGAGAGGAGAGGGAAGCTTTCAAAGCTGTAGCCATGGGAAATGTTTTTATTTTATTTTCTGCTTGAAAGAAAATGCCAAAGAAGGATAAAAAGGAAAAAAAAAAAGGGAGGGAGGTGGGGAGAGAGGGAGAGAGAGAAGGAACCTGGGAGCCTTTCGGTGTGGGAGGCTTTCAGGAGTTCTGGAAAGAAGGGCCAGGCCCTGCCATCCTCTCCCTTGAGATGTTACCATGGGCCACAGAGCATCAGGGAGAACATATGAAGGTTGGGAGCTAGGAAGAGCCCTTTCTGGCTGCCTTGCTACCACCCTGGCTGGGTGGCCTTAGTTAGGTCTCAGGGATCCTTTAGACGAGTGTCTACAACAATCACAGATCCCTGACACACAATGGGTGTGCACCCACAGGAACACCCAGAGATTGGGGGCATGGGCATGGGTGTCAGCAATTGGAAGACCCTTGGGGAGAGGGGAAATGGAGTTCTCCACGTTCAGCCTGAGCCCTAATCTGCACCAGGTTCTGTGAAATCAGATGGGAGCTCCTGCCCTCCGGCCACAGCCCTCCCGAACTCCAGCAGAGGGGACCTTGCCCTGGGCCAGCCTGATCTCACCCCCCAGCCTGCCCCAGGCCAAACCAGGGACTTCCACTGCCCTCTGACTTCCATTGCCTCCCCCCTTCCTCATGAAAGGCTAGGGAGGGCAGGAGAAAGCTCCCACAAATGGCAGGGAGGAGTGATGGGGGCACCCAATAAATGGGTGACAAGGTGTGTTAGTGTCCTTGGGCCATTTGCTAAACTAGTCTCCACCAGGCTGGGGGCTCTGCACTTGCACCTCCAGCACCCTGCCTGGTTTAGCTGAGGGTGCCTGCCGCTACTTCCTGGCTGCCTGGGTTTGTCACTCCTTTTTGCATCTCAAATTTCTCATCTGTTAAATGGGCATGACACTACCAAAAGCACAGGGCTGTCAAAGCCTGCCCAAGCAAGAGCCCACGTGTCCCACAAGGAATTTTCAGGCTGAAAAAGAGGAAACTAGAAGGGCTCTGCCACTGAAGCAGGTGGGATGTCCTGGTTTGGAGGCACCACCTAGGTTAAAGAGGTGGGACAGGAGGAGGAGGTGCCTCTGGGGGCCAGGCTGGCAGTGGAATTTGCTCAGAACTCTCAACGTGCACGGGCCTGCCAGGGGTAGGTTCAGAGGCACAAACAAAGCTCCAGCTGGCGGGGGGGAGGGGAGGGGACTTTAAGAGGCCAGGCAGCCCCTCCTGGGCACCTACTCCCCACCTAGGTGCAGCGCCTCCCCAGGCTCCCCAATCACACGTGCCGCCCAGCCCTCCATTAGTCACCCTGGCACTGACACATAAACCCCATTAGTCACACCCAGTACAAACCCACTTACAGAGCACATCCAGTCATACCCAGACAAAGACCGAGGCCCCCAAAGACACCTTGTTTGCCCCTCATGGCTCTTTCCCCAGCGCCAAGAACAGTGCCAGGCATGCAGGCCCCAATACAGTGTCGGAATATTCCGGACCTCAGCCTTCACCGGCCGCCAAGCACCCACAATCACAAACGCCCCACAACCGGGCACTGCTGGCCCCCAAAGAACCACAGTCACCCCCTTCCCCCATCCAAACCTCCCCCATCCCTTCTGGGCACACAGGTACCACAATAAACACCCACGAATGTCCTTGGCCATCCCCTCCTCTCCCTGGAGGGGGTAGGGCTGACGTTGTGCCCTCTTCCCCCAAGCTTGTCCTCCGCGAGTCTGGCAGAAAAACCATCCCCCAAGGTCACCAGAGCTCCTCAGCAGGCAGCCCCTGGGAAGTGATTTATTGGCGGTTTATTTGGAGAAACGCTATCGCTCTTAGATTCCGGGGGAAAAACGCTCGCGGTGGACTTTAACCTTGGGCTGAAACCGCAGCGCTTTGTTTTCCGAGGCGCGTCCTGGGGCGCCGCGGCGGGGCTGGGCCTGGCTGGGGAGGCTCGGCCGGAATGTGGCTCGGCAGCCTCTGCTCTCCAAGGCGGCGCTCCCGCCGCCAAGGCAAGCGCCCAAATTCTTCTGGGCCCGGCCGGAAGCCCTCTGTCCCTACAAAGTGCTTCTAGAAAGTGCAGGAAGGAGCCCAAGCTCCTGGGGCGAGAACGTCCTCAGAGCGAGTTTCCCAACTCCCCCGCCTCCGGCATTTGCCACCCGCCTTTCACAGTGGTGTCACTGGCGCAGCGAGGCTTTGGGGAGGAACCCAGAAGGGCGTGAATGCGCCCACTTCCGTGGCTGTCCCTACCCGAAGTCCCATGCATAGCCCAGTCCAAGGTGACTGACCCCCATGGCGGGCAAGGTTTGCTTGGCTGATGCAGGGCATCAGCGCGAAGATTTGTGCCCACTCCTCTGGCAAAGAAACTAAGTGGAATTATTGCAAATGCACCTTCTCTGGATCTGCCCCCCGGGCGCCCCACGACTACTCGGGTAGAAAAACCTCCCCCACTAGGCTGCCACCAGCGAACTACCGATTCCTGCTTTCGGGATGGTTCAGCTATGTGCGCCTAAGGGGGCAGCCGAGGAGGGATCCAAGCCGGTGCCCAGCGGCGAAAAGCCTGGGCTATCCCGTGGTGTGGAGAGAGAGGTGGGCTCGCGCGGGCTGAGAAGCCGGCGAGCCCCCGCCTCCGGGCGCCACGCCCGCAGGCACGGCGCTCGGTCTTCGCGCAGAAAAAAAAGCCTATCGAGCGCCCGCAGAGGGCTCTGCAGGCGCTGGATTAAGGCCGGGGTCGCCGAGAGGCGACAAACTGAGTTCTGAGAAGCCGCTCCGAGCCTGATCCTGCTGTCGCCCCTGCATGGTGCGTGCTCAAGCGGATGGCCGCGCGCCCATCCCAGCCCCACCAAGCCTTCCTAGGAGGAAGTGCCCGGCCCGGGCGCCCCTACCCCAAGGCGGTGGTCCTGTGAGGCCCGGCCACTTCGGGGTCCGGCGCCAGCCGGGATGGATGGTGGTGGCACCGAGTGGGCCACGGTGTTCCCTCTCTTTGGCAAACGGAGAAGCTCCTGCTTGATCCCCTGCGCAGTCTCGGGCCTTCCAGGCCGTGACGGGGAGAGCAGGGCGCCTGGCGCGGCCCGGGACGCGAGGCGGGCCCGGAGCACCCGTGCGTGAGCAGCTGGAAGGAGGGCCCGCCCGGAGATTTATGGCCGCAACCGGCCCCCTGCGCGCTGAGCGCGTCTCCGTCCTCTCGCAGCCAAACAGTGGAGTGGAACCCCGACCCCGGCCGGAGGAAGAGGCCAGGGCCGGAGGCGGGGCCGAGAGGAGCGGGAATCCGCTCGGCCGGCTGGGCGCTAGAGCCCCGGCGCGCTCCGCTCTCCGCGGCGTGCGGGGCGCTGACGCCGCGTCCCTGGTCTTCCAGACGGGTTGGGGCGGCTCTCGGCTGGGCTGGCCCAACCTCGGCTCAGTGCCGAATTGCGGCTGGGCCAGTCGCATCGAAGGGACGGCTAACGTGGCTTTCTCGGCCATGGCCTCTCCGGGTTTTAGCAGCAGCCCTCCAGGAGCTCCCCGGTCGCCGGACTTAGGGCCTTCGGAAACCCGCGCTTAAGAGACCCGGCTACACGGCCTCCCGAGCCGGCGGCAGAAGCCGGAGATCCTTTGGGGTCTCCTTCACGGAGATGCCAGCGGAGAGCGGGGTCTTCGGTCCCCAGCTGGAAAGGCGGTTCGGGGAGACCTGTGGAGTGGCTCGGGTAGCCGCGCCTAGGAAAGGATACTGGCTCCTTTCTGGGGGAGGGGGAAGGGAAGAACGTGTCCACGCGACCAGGGTTCGGGAAGAGCAGGGTTGTAAGTTGAACAGGGCAGAGTTGAGGAAGGTGCGGGATCGAGGGAGTCGGACGTGCCCGCGGCTCGCCAGGCCAGCCGGGCGCGGGGGCCGAAGCTGCAGCGGCAAAGGCGCAGCAGGGGAGACAGCCGGACTCGAGGTTGGCCTGTCCTTTGGTTTTAAAACAAAAAGGGAGAATTTTGTCAGTCAGGACGCGTCCAGAGAGCCGAGGCCGGAGCCAGCAGCCTAGGAACACACAAAAGGCCTGGGCTCTGGCGGCTCAGGCTGCCGCGGACAACCGCGCTGGGTCTGGCTGAGGCCGGCCTGGGCGGGTTCTCCGGGAACTGCTGTTTGGGGCTGCTAGGAGGTCCCCCCACCCCCAGCCGATCCGATTTTCCGCCCAGTCAGTACAAAATACACACACACACACACACACACACACACTGCGTCAACACACTGTTTTTGGCCACCGATCCCGCTGGGTAAACAGAAGTATGAAGAGGTGGGGGTGGGGCACGGAAGATGGCGGCTGGGACCGGGCGGTCTGTGGCCTGTGGCCTGTGCGGTTGCTCCCCGCACAGGGAGCCCAGGCCTGGCTTTTACACTTAAATGTGGCCCAACCAGAGCGAGAAGGGCGTTTTCCCAGACTCTGAAGTCCGGCTAGAGGTGTCCCAAGCGGCCCCCTACGAATGGTGGGGGTCTCCCAGGGAGCCCGGCTGCATCCGTGACCTCACTTGGGACCGGGCCCCCGCCCCAACATGGCTCCCGGTCGCTGTTTACTCAGCCACGGCGGGGGCACCGGGGCGCGGGGCCGGAGCGGGCAAAGATCAGCGATCGTACAGGTCAGCTAGGGCGGGTGGCCTCTCGGCGTGGCTCACCCGCGCCCTTACGCGCGCGGCAGCCCTGGAGAATGGCGCGGGCAGAACCTGCCCCGTGCGCCCCGCCCGGCAGCCAGGAGCCAGGAGCCGCCGCTGCCGCGTCCTCAGTCCCTGCGCCGAGGCCGGGCTCCAGTGGCTGGAGGACAGCGCGGCAGGTCGCGCGAGTGCGGTGGTGTGCAGGGAGGGCGGCGCGAGGGGCCAGGGCCACAAAGCCCAGGGGGCGGGGGCCTTGCCTGCCCCAAATCGCGGCCCTAATGAAATGCCTGCTCGGTTCGCCACGCAGACCAAGCGCACACTTGAAAAATGCAAACGCCATTGGCAAATCCAGGGCAAACAGGCAGAATTTTTATTAGCAACTAAATGATTTATGGCACACGTACCCCGCCGTCACAATTATGGCGTCTTGGAGCATCCAGGGGTGAAAACATTAAACATTTATAAAAATAGGCCTTTGTTTTTTTCCACCCCGTAAGCCTTTTGTATTCCCCACCCCAACTCTCTCAAGATACATTTTTTTTCTTGAGCTATATTAAAATAAAAACATTCCAGATCCCAGGCAGGATAACGGGGTGGGGGATCAGGGTCTGGGCTCCGAATACTGGAGGCAGCAGGGGTGGGGAGGAAGCGGTGGGGACTGGGGCGTGGGAGGGTTTACTGGGAACGCGCGAGGCCTCTGGACAAGACGAAGGCGCTCGGCTCCCCCACACTCGGCCCCTTCGTCTGCCTTGGCTTCCAGCAGCCCAGCGTAGCGCAGCTCCACTGCATTTATTTTACTCCTGCAGTCACCCCCCTCCCCTAAGGCACACAGACACAATACCTCCTTTCTCTAACCCCCCTCCTTTCGGTCTTTGCTCCTGGCCGTCCCGGGGCTGCACTGGGCGCCTCCCGCCGCCTCGACTGCCGAGGCCGCCAGAGACCAGCGCGCCCAGCTCCAAGCCCAGACACCGCGGCTCGTTCCCCTCAGCTCCGGCTATTTTCGTTCCTTTCTTTCCTTCACACTCCTCCCTCCTCCCCCCTCGGAGCTCCAGCTTCCAAAAGAGGGCAGCCTAGAAACCAGCGCAGGAGGCTCCAGGAAGGGCAACTTGAAACTGCCCTCAAGAGGCTGAACTTTTTTCCTCAAATTTATCCTGGAATTAAATTAGACACCCCCAGTTCGCTCTCGAAGCCTACCCCCCTTCTTTTCTAAAAGTGGAGAAAAGAAAATAGAACGAATGAGCACTGACTAGCTCATTCCTTCCCCCCTCCAGAAAAGTTGCTTAAAAAATGGATTGAAAAAAAGAACGAGCAATGCAAAAACGCTGAGTCCGCAGCGCGGGGCGTAAAAGCGGGCTTCTCTTGTTTTAATTAAAATCCTATAACCGCGGTTGCTTTCCGAGGCAGGATCGGCCAGGATTCCTGCCCCTCCAAGCTTCCTTTTGAGGGTATGTAATGCCTAGCCCGGCTCGAGAGCCTGCGAGGCTGCAGAGAGAGGGTGAGGGGCCCCCAGGACACTCCTTCCTGCGTGGTCCGCACTCCCTGCGCCCCTAGTCAGGTAGGTCTGCCGCGGGCAGCTCCCGGCTACTCAACCCAGAAAGGATTTCGCTGAAAGCGCAAAATAAAAGTACAAAGTCTGGGGGATTGGGGCTCCCCTCCCCCCTCGGCCGCCGTGGCCAGCCAAGCACTTTTTGGGCTTGGCTGCTGCTTCCTCTGAGCTCAACAGATTTTTTTTTTCCCGGTCTCGCCCTCCCTGGAGGGGGCGCGGCGGATGGAAGGCGAGAGAGGCCCCCAGCCAAGAGGTTTTTAATATTACACTTTAATAGGTTTCAGAAGGCCCCGTGGAGAAATGCTAATAGGCTGAAATGTCAGAATCGAGAGGGATTCAGTTTGCGCTCAGCCGATCTAATCCTTTTTTCTGCTCTGATTTTTTTTGGAGGGGGGGGAAAGAAAGGGAAGGGAGGGCCCACGCAGAGGAGCCTTTGGGGAGGGGCGCGCTGTTCCAAGCGCCGCAGCCCCGGCTTGGGCCGAGCGGGGGGGGCGCGCCCCGGTCCGCGTTTCTATAGGAACCCCTTTTAGAAGATTAGAGACTCACCCGCTGCCCGCCGCCGCGGCCTCTCCAAAATATTAATCAGTAACCATCTGACACAGCGTTACAGGGAGGGACCCGCAGGCCAGGGCTAGGAAAACGGCCTTCTCGCCAGCCCATCCCACCCAACCACGCTGCTGGGGGAGAGGGAATGAATTGCTGCTTTGTTTTAAAAGGAAAAAAAAAAGGAAAAAGCAGCCCTTGTCTGTTTTGGCGTCTCCACCGGGCGTACCAGAGGCGCACCCCAGGGAAGTTGGGGGGCCAGGGCCTGGGCGCGGGGTGCAGCTCGCCAGACCCCAGGCCCTCCCCGGTTTGATCGGCTTGTCACCTCCTTCTGCAAGCAGGAAGCTGACAGGCGGCCCATTAAACCGCGCCTTGCAAAGCCCAGGATTGCGGCGACAACCATCTTCCTCTATTTTGATCACTCAGCCCAGACGCTGGGGGAGGGGGGAGGAAAAGGGAGGAGAAGGAGAAAGGGGGGAGTCTGAGCTGGTGGAGGGGGAGGGATGCCTAGAAACGGCCCGGAAAAATTCTCACCACCAGTTTTGATCATTCAGCCCCGCCGAGGGGAGCCTGGAAACTGCTGGAGCCCCTAGGTCCGTAATTGGTTTTATAGGAATGGCTGAGGGCCAAGGTGTTTACATGCGCGTGATTGGCGGTGCGCGCCGCCAATGGGAGGCTGCCAGGGGCCGGCCCGGAGGGGGGGCGGGCGCCGGGAACAATGCGTGTTTCTTTGCAAGAGTGCTCCCCTCCCCCACTCCCCCCCCCGCTGGTTTTTTTTTTTTTTTTTTTTAGATCCAGCGAGAGGAACTTGAAAGGGGGGTTGTGTAATGTACCTTTTCCAATCCCGGGCTGTATATGGAGATTTGGGATTCTTTAAACCGGCGCTACCTGGATTTTATTAAAAAGCGGGGAGCTCGGCGGGAGGAAAGCTGGCTTTTCCGGGGGCTGCGGGAGCCGGGCCGCGGGAGGGCGGAGGAGTTGGCGCGCCGAGCTCTCGGCCCGGGGAGCGGTTTTCTACCAAAAAAAGGAAAGGCGGGCAAAAAGTGTGAGGCGGCTGCGGGTGGCGGAGGGGAGCGGCAGCCACGGGATGGCGGGCAGCATGGGCGCCTAGCCGCGCCGGGAGCCGGGGCTGCCACCGGAGTCGCTGTCGCCGGAGCCCGGAGCCGGGAGCCCAGCCGCGCCAGGTACGCCGCCGGTCCGCCTGCCGGCCCCCGGCTGGGCGCGATGGTCTCCAAACTTCTCCAGCTCGCCCCCCACCATCCCCAACCTCGCCTGGCCCTCAGGGTGCGCTGGGGGATCCCCGCAGCTGTCCGACTCCCGATAACTGAATCTGGGACCAGGGCCGGCAGGGAGGGGGGTCTCAAGGAGGGGTGGGGGCAGGCTGCTGCGCCCCGGGCGCCCACCCGAACCCCCAGCCCAGCTCCAGCCTGCCCGGCCGAGGGGCGTCGGTTCCTCTCTCGGTTCCCAGCAGGCGGTGGGGGAGCCGAGGACGCCGAGACGTTTTCGATTATAGGCTGTTTTTAATTAAAAGCCGGAATTCAGCCATTTTAACTGCATTTAAGAGGGGGAGAAAAGTAGGGAGAACGCAGTGGAACCCTCAGATGGCCGAGCCAGCTTCTCTGCCAGAGCGAGGGTGTTTCAGGGGGCTTCACCCCGACTTCTCCAAACTGGGGCGCCTGGGCATGCTACGAGGCGCTGGCTTTTAAAAGAAAGCTACTCAAAGAACATATTTTTTAAAAATCACGGGAAGCTCATCGCCTCCTTAGGACATGTATCCTCGGATGTGGCTATCTTAGATTTTTCCAAAGTAAACGCGGATCTGGTAACCAGAGCCTGATGGGGAAGACCAAGGGAGGGAAGGAGAGGGTGTTTGTAACCAAAACCGGGTTAAAATAGGCTCCCTTAGCGAAGTTGGGGAGGAAGGCTGGAGAAGGAGGCTGGCGGGTTTGGCCGGGGGCTTTGTAGCTGAGAGGGTCTGCTGCTCTGGGGGCTGGGCGCGAAGTGCAGGGCTCAGGGCGGGCACCCGGAGCCGGTGGCTTTGGCGTGATCGGCGGCTCTAAGAGCGTCCAGGCCTGCTGGAATCAGGAATCTGAGCTTTTGCGGACTGACAGAGTGCGAGGGAAGGATGGGCTCCATGACCCCCTCCCTCCCCCACGGGAATCGGCAAACGACAAATCTTTTAAATAAACAGCTTTAAACTGGAACTACTGGGGGATTTACCCAACGGTGGGGGAGGCGCCCCTCGGTGGGCCCGCTCTGCGAAGATTTTCTTTGTAGATTATTTTGGGGGGTGGTGGGGGGAAGCTAGAGTAGAAGCGAGATTCTTGATCCCTTTCCTTCCCCTTTGCCGTCCTCCAAATCCCCCGTGCCAGGCCGCGTCCTGGAGCCGCAGGACTCCCAGGTTAGGGCGTTGGAAAATGAAACCAAAGCTTGTTTTGAAGGATTCTTTCCAGTTCTCAGGCGAGAATGCCACGTCTCGGGTCCTTGGACTCAGACTCTGGGACTCACAGTGGCGGCGGGGTTGGGGGCTGGCGGGCCTCTTTAAAAATAATAAACCCGCTTTGCACTCTGCCTCCCGGGAAAAAAAAATAACCCATTCTTTCGGCGGCTCAGGGAAACCAAACTCAGAAAAGGGAGGCGAGGTCCCAGAAAGGTTAAATATTAAACTTTCCGGATCAGATAGTGACATAGTGTTTAGGGAGACATTTCAAACTGCTCGTGGAAGGGTTTCACAGTTTTAAATTCCGGAGCATGTGACGCCCAGGAATAAACACACTTAGGAGGTTTGTATTTACGCTGTCCCAGCACAGCCGAGGGGCCTTCCCCCGTTTGGGGAGGACCCGGCAGCCGGCGAGGCAGAGTCCGGGCTGGGGCGCAGCGCGCCACGGGTCACTTTTCCTAGTCGGGTCCCCGGGAGCTTGAAGCCGCTGGCGGAAGGAGCCTGGATCTTTACTGTTCATAGAAACGGGGCTACTCCGATTTCATTTCTGGCCACCAGATCGACAGCCCCTGACCCCAAAGGGCGAGGCGACTTTCTGAAACTTATTTTTTTTCCTCTTTCTTTCTCCCCTTCTATTTCTTCCGCGGCCCGTCTCCTCTCCCCGCCAAGAAGCCGTGTGCGCTGCCTCGCGCACCTCCAACCGGCCGCCAGGAGGGGCCCCACCGCCGGCCGCCTGTGCGCCCCGGGCCGCGGGGCCCACTGCCGAGCGCAAGCCCCGCTGGCCGCCGCCATGCACGCCGCGGAGCCCCCGCCACCCGAGGACTCTGGGACTACGCCGAGGCCGAACTTTTAGGTCCCACTGAGCGAGGCCCGCGGGCCGGGTGGGGGGCTGGCCGCGGCACTCCCGCGGAGGATGGATGGCCGAGACTTCGGGCCCCAGCGGTCCGTGCACGGCCCCCCGCCGCCGCTACTGTCCGGCTTGGCCATGGACAGCCACCGCGTGGGCGCGGCCACTGCCGGACGCTTGCCCGCCTCGGGCTTGCCCGGCCCGCTGCCGCCTGGGAAGTACATGGCCGGCCTCAACCTCCACCCGCACCCGGGTAAGTGCCTCGCACCGTGCCTGTTTCCTCTGGTCTCCCGGGATTCTGGGGAGGGAGGCCCCGGAGGATCTACTTGGCCGGTTCCCTGGCACTCGCGGCCGGGGCTCGGCGTCCCTCTTTCCCTCGGCCGGCCGCTGGGGTGCGGGCAGGCTCCGGTCCCAAGGAGGGGAGTCCCTGGCCCTGGCCACTGAGGCCTGTCCGGAGGCCCTGGCCGAGAGGGGCGTGAGGCTCAGCTGCTTTCCCCGGTGCGCCCGTCCCTCCTGAAACAAAAGTGTTAGCTGAAGTCAGAGCCACCGAGGGCGATTCCAATCCCTGGGCCCCTGTGGCACGAGCCTGGTGTGGAGTTTTCAAAATCTGGTCGAGAAAAGAACAAATCAGCCCCCACACCCTGTGAGACACCCGTTCCTCGAGTTCGAATCTTTTTCTTGGCAAACACCCTTTCTGGTGCCCGTCGGCCCTGGGTTCTGTTCCCAGCTCCACCACGCCACCGATCCGAGTCGGGTCCCTAGCTGTTCTGAGCGCCAGGGGATGCTGGAGGACGGCGACCCCAACCTTGGGATCTTGGCCTCTGGCTGAAGGCAGCGGCCCTCGGGAGCCCCCTTTAACCCTGGGCAAACGGTGGCCCAGGGAACCCGCACCCGGGGGAACCCGCACCCGGGTAGGAGGGTGGCGACCCCGCCCTGGGATCCTCTTGTTCTCTGACTGGAAAGCGGGTGTGAGGCGAGGCGGGGATGCCGAAACCCGGCACTGCCATCGTGAACTTACAGGGAAAGAAGCGGCGCAGGGAGCGGATCGGGCCGGACACGGGCGGCAGAGGGGACACCCTGGGTCTGACATCGAACCGCAGGAGGTGGCCGAGAAGGCTCCGCGGCCACCACCATTTCCCGAGAGGGGCTGCCCAGGTGCGGCGGGGCGGCCTCCGGGTGGGCGCCGCGCGCGCGGGGAGGGAGATGCTTGCCCCGGCCGAGCCCCGGCCGCCGCCGCAGTCAGGCGGGGAGCGAAGGGAGACACGGAAGCTCCAGACGTGCCGGCGGCCGCCCCGGGAGGCTGGGTCCCCCCTCTCTGGGGTGCGCTTAGCTCCTGCGCCTGACCTCCCAAGCTCTGACTTAAAAAATAAAAATCCACATCCACCTCTTCTAAGTGTAGTTTAGGACTTTTGCAATTTCTCGGGGGGCCCCAGCGCTGTCCTCTTCCTTGGGGTCTTGGCGGAGACACCCCTGGCCTGGAGCGGCTGCCTCAGCCTCACCCTGCCTGCTGGGTCGAACTCGCTGATTTTGCCTCTTTCTTTGATTTTTCTCCTGGAACTTTTCAGGAACTGGCGTCCCGGGGGCTCTGCGGGACAAAGGGCCTTTGTGAGGCGCTGGGCGGGGGAGGGGCATGAGAACCCTCAGCCCTGGGGCACGCGTGTGCCCCTCAAGAGCCGGAGGGGGGCCTTCTGCCGGGGACCACGAAGAGGGCATGGGTTTTCTCCTAAGTGGCGCGCTGTGGCGGAGGTAGTGGTGCCAGAGACCCCAGAGGAAGAACTTAGAGGGCGGCGGTGGGGTACAAAGGCTGTCTGGGCCAATCCCTTTTGCATGTCCCGAGAGTCCACGGCGATGTTTTATGTGTGTGTGTCTTGAGCTCTTCGGGTTATTCAGTTCGGTCTGGCCCGGGGAAGGGGCGGGGGTGGGGGGGGGGTTGGAGGCACAGCCTGGGGATCGGGCCTCTGGTCTGCCTGGCTGGCAGGGCCTTCGCTTGCTTTCTGTGAGTCTGGGAGGGGGCGTCATGTACTCCCCACCTTCGATCTTGCTCGGTCTGGCAGAGGCAAAGTGTCCTAATGAGAAGCGGTAGAAACAGCCACTTTCTTGGAGCGCCTCTGCGGCTGCACCGCGCCATAGCCGCGCCTAACTTGTCCAGTAGTCGGCCGGCTGATGCGCATTTGGTGGATGGGGAGGCCGAGGGATGAGCCATGAGCCGGCCAAGCGACAGACCAGCGGAGGAAGCCTACCTAGCAGGTGGTGGCCCGGCCCCCAGTCTCCTGCCCTCCCGCGCTCTGCTCTGCTAGCTGCCTGACTTCTGTATGCTGAGGCTGCGGTGGCTCAGGAAACAGCAGGAAGGCCGCTGCTGCCCCCTGAGTCCATGCCTCTTGCTGCCCCCCACCCCTACCTCCTCCAGTGGCCCTGCGCAGACCTCAGACCCCAGGCCAACGCCCAGAGCTGAGCCCTTGCTAATCCCATTACCCAGGAGGGGGGGAGCGGCTCCCATTCACTGCTTGGGGCTGGGCCGGATTAGAAATTCCTCAACCTGGCACCCCTCCCCGTTGTCTTTGTGGGGTGCAGGTGCTAAATTTTCTCTTTGGACACCACCCTCTCTTCCTTGGCTGTTAGCTCCTTCGGTCTTGCCAGCCTTATCAGCCCCATCTTGTTTGTTTTTATGTGGGGAAGTCCTAGGACTTGAGGGATTTGCCTGGGGTCACACAGTGAGGGAATGAGAGGTACATTGCCTTTGGGCTCCTTCTCACCCCGAGCTTGGTGATCATGAGACTCTCTCTGTGTAGCCCTCCTGGCGTGCCTCCTGCTCTGAGAGAGCTCAGAGCTGGAGGGGCTGTGGAGGAGAGGCCCCTTCCCAGCAGGTATTGACAGGGTCTGCTGTGAGGAAGGAGAGGCTTTCTGCATTGGGGGTCTCAGCAGTGGGCTTTGGCCTCTTCCTCTGCAGAAGAGGAGGTAAAATTAATAATAAATGGGGTTTGGGATCAAAGAAAGGGTGGCTTTTACCTTTCCTGTAACCTTGAGTATTGATATAGCATGAACAGCAAATAGTCACAGTCTGCTGGGTGAAATGGACTAGTAAGTGACAAGCACCTGAGGCTTGGCGCTCAGCTCTGGGGCTGGGAGGCCTGGACTGAGTCCTCCTCATATGGTGCAATTAAAGAGCTATTAGCAGGATTTTGTACTTGGGTATTTACTCTCCCTGCCCCCACCCTCTGGGCTGGCCTGGGGAGGATTCATGAATGGGGGGGTGGGACCCAAGGATAGGGCTGGGAAGCCCTGTACTTTGGCCTGGCCAGTAGACAATAGGGGGCCATGGGCCTTCTCCAGGGTCCCATCAGCTCCATCTCTGGAATCCAGCCTGTCAGCCCGCCGGGATTGATTTAGAGAGATGAATCAGTGAGGGCTGGCGGAGTGATAGAAAGATAAGGGAGATTTGCAGGGTGCTCCTTCTCTGGCAGGGGAAGAGGGAGGCCTGGCGAGGGTTCTGGAATCTAGGAGGGCCTCTTTGGCCCCCTGGCTCTCTGGGTTCTTCAGCTCCCAACCCCAGTGCATTCTCCTTTCCTCACTTGTTCATTTACTCAGCAAATCATTTCCAAGTCTTCCCTCGTGCCAGGCACTGCTCTGGTCCTAGGAATTCGGCAGTGAACCCAACAGACAGAAATCTTTGCCCTCGTTGGAGCTCACATTCTATGCAAGAGCCAGACAGCGAACACACAAGTCGTGCAGGAAATGGATTTTGAATAGGGGTAGAGGTTGTGGTCTGGTCTGATCCTGTCTGGGCCCGTCCGGGTGGTGAGGGGCTATGTCTGTGCAGCCAACTCGAGTGATCTGTGATCCGAAGGAGTGACCTGTGTGTGTGTGTGTGTGTGCGCGCATGTGTGTGTGTATGTGTGAAGGGCAGAAAAGTGCGATGAAAGGAAAGGAGATGGAACACAGAAGCCTGATATGTCTGAGCAGTCGGAATGGCTGGAGCCAGTTCGGGGTGGGGTGGGGAGGGGGGATCCTGCAGGTCCCGGAAGGCCAGTCATGAGGTCTTGGAATTTTAAACTATGAGGAATGAGGATGCAGCAGAGGGTTTTAAATGGAGGGAGTGACTCAAATTGAGGGACATTTTACAGAACTGGTCTGGACTCTTAAAAAATGTCAATGGCATGCAAAACAAAGGAAGGCTGAGAACTGTTCCTGATTAAAAGAGACTAAAAAAAAAACAAAAACCCACAAGTGACAGCTAAAGGCAATGTGTGGCTCTCGATTGGATCTTGAATCAGGGAAGAAATTGCTCCAAAGAACATCATCTGGGCAATTGACAAAACTGGAATATGGACTGTAGATTAGCTGATAGTATCAAATCAATATTAGGTTTCATGAAGTTGATAACTGTACTGTGGTTATGTAAGACAATGTCCTTGTCCTTAGGAAATAAGAATACTGAAACATTTGATGGCATGGGGCTCGGTGTGTATACTTACTCTCCAAATGGTTCAGGAAGAGAAAAAATACCTATAATTTTTACATACATATGGGAGACAGTGATACATCAGATAACATCAATAATACACAGAGGGAGAGGGCAGTTCACAGTCCTGGTGAAGGTCTTTCATATGGCAGTTCATTGTGCTATTTTAAACTTTTCTTTGAATTTGAAATGATTTCAAAATATGCATTTAAAAAATTAGGCTGGGTTGCTGGCCAGAGACCATTCAGTAGACTAGGAGAGAAGCAGCTGACCAGTCAGTCCCAGGAGGTATCTGGGAGGTGATAGGGAACAGGGAGGGGGCTGAGGTGGCATAGGCAGAGAGGCTTGTGGAGGTGGGGCTGCCAGGATGGAGGGGAATAGGGAGGAGATCTCTGGGATTGTCAGTAAGAGCTGCTTGTGGAGGAGGAAGGGGTTGGGCATCTTGTTTGGGATGTGGCCAGTGTGGGTGCTCTTGGCTTCCCACTGTGGACCAGTCTTTGGTCTGAGCTGACTTTACTGTAGCCCTGTCTTCCACCCAGACTCCAGCCCAGCTTCTGAGGGGACCAGCTGGAGCTGTTCTCAGGATAGATCTTGGGCCTCCCCAGGGGCTGCTGGGAGCCCTGGCAGGTGGTCATTCAGGGCCAGGGTCTTCATCACACCTGCTGGGGGCAGAGGCCTGGCATGTGACTTTGAAGGCAGTCAAGGATATTAGGTGGGAGCCACTGCTGAAGCTCCTTGCTCCCCGCTCCTGGACCATGAATGCACCCACCATTGCATGTGGGGTTCCTTCATGAGGCAATGAAAGTGATGGACCCCCAGCCTGTGGGTGTGAGATACCCTCACTGACAATTATACTCATTTTCCAATCTTGAGCTCGCTGAGGCTCCTAACCCCAGAGCTGAGGCTCTTATCCCCAGATAAGAAACTGCTCCACCTAGAGGCAGGATGGCTTCGGGGCTGAGGCTTAGATCTGGTTCCTCCACTTACTGGGTGTGTGTGTGTATGATGACTCTCTCAGCCTCGATTTTCTCATCTATCAAGTGGGGTCATTAGAGTTCTGAATTCATTCAGTGGTTGTGAGGTTGGAATGAGTAAGTGCAGGCCAGGTGCCCAGCATAGGGACTGCCCTCTGTAACAGTTACCACAAAAGTGAGGGCTGTAATTACAGTGACCATTCACTGATGACTCACACATCCCTTGCGCTAGTCCAGACCTCTCTGAGCGCCGCTGGAATTGTGTGTAAATTGGAGTAAACCCCTCTGGATGGATCATAGACTCCTCAAACTTAAGACTCCCAACCTGAACTCATTTTATTTCTCTCCTTTCTAAAGATATTTAACAGGTGGTGAAACACTTTGATCTTGAGTGTTCAGTTTGTTGAGTTATTACAAAGTGAACATGGCTCTGTAACTACCAGCCAGCTCAATATCAGGGTATTCACAGCACAACAAGGGCTCCTCAGCCTCCTTTCTAGATCACCACCTCCCCTCAAACAGCATTCTTATTTCTGTTACCATAGATCAGTTTTTCCTATTTTTGAAATTTTTGTAAATAGAATTATACAGCTCTCCTGTTTTTATTTCTAGATGTTTTCACTCAACATTATATTTGTGAGATTAATCTGTATTGTGGTGTATAGCAGTAATTTGGAATTTCTCATTGCTGTGTAATATTCCACTATATGAACATAGCATAA